GGCCGCTGGGCGTAAGCGGATTTGAAGGACTGCGCAGAGCGCTTGCGTGCAGCGGATAGCGAATGCTGAGCGGCTGGGTGTTGAGCGCGGAGGTATTTGCGACCAGGTTCATATGTAAATAGCCATTACTTGAGTCACGCGAGGGCGTGCAAGGGTGTATCACACAGGTGCTCCATTTGTGGTCTTGCCTGGATAACGATACCCAACAACGCTCTCCAAGATGTAGGTCCAAAAACACCTAAGTGGGTCGATGTCAAAAGTAGGCCTTCAGCCCAAGCTGAGCTTTGCAGGCGCACTCATTCCTTCTGCTCTGGCGGTTGAAGGAGGCTTTGTGTCATGTCCTGGCTCCCGGATGTTGAGGGGGGACCTTAAAACTGCAGATGTGCATTTTCCAGGTCCCCCACCCCTTATGCGTAGGGGATCAGTGTCCCAAGCATCAGCTTGCAACTCGGGGGCTGACTGCTGTTGTTTTCCACGTCTGCCACGCAGCCGCCGCTCCTGCCAAGAGAAGCACGTTAGTACCAAAAAGCCCCTGGAGGAAAAGCCATGTCGATGTCCAAGCTTTGCGAGGTGAAGGCCAAGAACGAGTTGGCGATGAGCATAGCTGACGCATCCACGAGAGCCTCGGAATCCCACGTGGATGAGGATGGGATGTCTGATGCCTCAGCTGCTTCTTTGGGAAACACGACCTTGGCCAGCTCAAAGCTGAGCAAGGCCCGCAATGAGAGGGACAGAGGCCCTAAGAGGGCAGCGAAGAGGATCCGAAGAGCCATGATCAAGAAAGGCATGTGTCAGGAGGTTGTGGATGCGATGACGGACCAGGAGGTGCTCAATGCGAGGGAGACCTCACGGCGAACACCGTTTTCAGATCTCCTCGCAGAGCACTTGGGCATGGTCTCGGAGGGCGCCGCGGTCACAATCCAGGAGCGGCTGAGTGCGGCGCTTGCCGTGCCTGCGGGCCTGAAGGATCCGCTTACGGAAGCGGAGTTGAGCCGGGCGCAAGCCTTTGCCAAGCCGGCGGAGGGAATCGGTGGCAGGTGCAAGTTCTGTGGTGTGGTCTGGGACCCCTGCCACGCCCAGGGCAAGAACCACCTCAAGGCGGTCACAGAGCATGCCCTGGGGACACGGCTCTTTGGCCCAGCCTCTTCAGCGAAGAGGCTTGACGCCACTGGGCTCGTGGTTGCCGGGCGAAAGCCGACCAAGCAGGAGGTCCAGCGCTTTTGGGGCGATGTCACGCTGATGCCCGTCGTGTTGTGGGACCGCCTGAACAAGGGGGAAGGCATCCAATTGCGCTGGGGCGGTGCGAAGAGCAAGGTGTGGCAGATCAAGGCCTGGTGTGAGTTTGCGCTTGTCCCAATTGTATGACCTTGTTCTGTCACTTGGGGCTAATCATCAACTAATGCTGTGATAGTGCCCCGCTGTTTCGGTCATGCAAACAAATTGCAGGCTTGCAGCCTTTTCCAAGCCTGTAACTGAGTTCAATCAAAACCGTGATGGAGGCAGCCGTGGCGAACGGGCCCGTGGAGAACACTCTCATCATCCGCTCTGCCGAGTTGGCCGTGGTGAGGTATGACCCGATCAGCGGCAAGTACTCCAACCGGGGAGACTACTCCCGGGACGCGTTTGCGCGATGGGAGGAGTTGGAGCAGGAGCTGGGCGAGATCCAAGACGGCCTCCAGGGCCTTCACTCCCAGGAGCCGTGGTGGCCCGTTCTTGAGATCCATGTGGACGCCGATGGCACCACTGCGGTCATCCTCGTTTGCTACTACCAGCTTCTGGAGGCCATCATGTGGGCTTGGGTCCTGACCTTGGCGCGGTAGATGTCTTCTAATCCTGTTGCTGGTGTGCTTGGCGTTTCGCCGAGCTGCCAGTGACAAGGTTGGCACGCCCATTTCCGTCGCCGCTCAGTGGCCCAGGCTCCAAGTTACAGTTTTGCCCAAGCAGGAAATTGTTTGGGGTAGTTGTTGGCTTCTCGTCAGACAGGTTGCAAAGACCTAGCAGTTTGGGTTAGTTGACAGTTTGACTTACTGCTGCAAGATGTCTAAATCACGGGGCCAGATCTTGCTGGTAGCATCTTGGGGCCTGAGCCTGGCGCGGTAGACGTCTTCTGACCCTGTCGCAGGCGCGTGGCGTTGCAAACAGTGATCAAGGTTTCAAGTCGAAGTTTTGCCCAAGCCGGAAGTTGTTTGGGGTAATTGTTAGCTGCTCGTCAGACAGGTTGCGAAGACCTAGCGTGCTTGGTGCTTTCGCCGAGCTGTTAGGCTCTCTTGCTTCCTGGTTGACGTTTGTTTCCATGGGTATCGTTTGTTGTCTTCTTTGGATATTGCCACAAGACGTCTAACATCACCGGATCAGATTCTGGGGGCTCAGATCCTGCAGGCGGCTTTTGCCAGGACGCTGGCTGGCCAAGTTTTTCTATTGCCACGACAACGGCTTGACAGACCGCTTTCCTGCCGTCAGGGGTGAGGTGAAGTCATGGTCGTTTTTTTTAACCGCGCAAACGTCAGCGCTGCCTCGATAAAAGAAGCGCGAAGTGTCTCAAGCGTCGGAGTCTGCAGCGTTTGGAGGTCATGAGATATAGCAAGGGCCTTCCCGCGGAAGCTTTTTGGGCAACTGGTGACCCCTTTGCCTACCCAATCGTTTTGTTACCTGCTGAGCAAGATTTCATTCAGGAGAGGTTTTCTTGCGAGAGGGTGTGCGGGCCTCCCGGCGTACACCCGTTCGCGGACTACCGGGAGGGGTTTTCTTGCGAGAGGGTGTGCGGGCCTCCCAGCGTACACCCGTTCGCGGACTACCGGGAAGGGTTTTCTTGCGAGAGGGTGTGCGGGCCTCCCGGCGTGCACCCGTTCGCGGGTTACCGGGATGGACTTGGCACTGCACCACCTTGTTGTAACAAACCGTCCGTTGCATCTGCACCTAACAACACACTGGGAACTATGAGCGTACATTGGAATTTGGGGGAGAATGGCGCTCCCCCTGGTGAATTTGATGACTTCGAAGATCCTGGTGTTGGCAGTGTCAAACAGAGTTGCGGTCCGAGTGAAGTCACATGTGAGGGTGTTTGTGCCTGCGTGAGCGTTTTTCACATGTCATGTTGCGGCATGCACACATGTTTGCCAGTGTCTGCAGTTTTTTTAATACTCGTGTACATGGCGTGCTCGAGCGGAAGGGGCAGTGCTGTGCACATTTTTTGATGGAAGAAGTATCAGTGCTCTGTCCGCGAGGCTTTCCCTGTACGCTGCCTGGTGCGGCAGCGGTGGGTTAGCTGCTGGCGCTGTTTGCGCCGGTGCGTGACGGGATGCTATTGCCACCGCGATGTGAGACGGCAAGGTAAAACGTCAGCTGGAGTGCCTGATGGGAGATATATATATATATTGTATCGGCGTCTGCAAATACAATTCAACTTTTCCAGCCTGTTTCTCTGTTCGACTGTTTGCTCATTACCTACTGCGCGTGCACGCCGCGAATAAAACAAAAAAAACCGAGTTTTTTGACATTCAGCAAAGACTCGGTTTTTTTCGGTTTTCCCATTTCCATGGTAGACTAAGCTGTAGGTCTGTATCTAGCAGCGCAAAACATCTCGGATTTCGGCTAACTCTGCGTCACCGAAAACAATTGGGCCAGACGGAGGCTCAATGAAGAAGGCTTGCGCTGCAGGACACGTAAGACATCCACTTGTGTGCGTGATAAAGTACACATTGTGTCGGAGTCTGCAAGTAGAATTCAACTTTTCCTGCCCGTTTGTCTGTTCGACTGTTTGCTCATGACCTACTGTGCGTGCACGCCGCGAATAAACAAAAAAAACGAGTTTTTGGACATTCCGCAAAAACTCAGTTTTTTCAGGTTTCCCATTTCCAAGGTAGACTGAGCCGTAGGTTTGTGTCTTGCGGTGCGAAACATCTCGGATTTCGGTAAACTTTGCGTCACCCAAAACAATTGGGCCAGCTGGAGGCAGAATGAAGAAAGCTAGCGCTGCAGGAGAGGTAAGACATCCGCTTGTGTACGTGATAGCGTATATATTGTATCGGAGTCTGCAAAATAGAATTCAACTTTTCCTGTCTATTTCTCTGTTTAACCATTTTTCCTCCTTATCTACTGCGCGTGCACGCCACGCATCAGCCAAAACAAAAACGGTTTATGAAATTCAGTAGGAGAGAGACGCAGAGCCTTCCACCTAGTGGTTGCATGTTGCTCCATGCCGTGACTACCCCGTGGTGTGTTTGTTGCAACAAGCAGATGCCATGAAGCAATGAATGCCTGGCTGCCCGCTGCTACAGCCTTGCCGTGGGCAGGGCTGCCCAACATGCACATGCTGCAGATAAGCCACATCGATTAAGCCATTTTGTGATGCCACATAGCCAGTCTCAGACATAGTGAGAACCCAGCCAGATCTCCAGACACTTTAAGTGGGACTGCCACTTGGAGCCACTTGGAGCCACTTGGAGCCACTTGGCGCCACTTGGAGCCACTCCAAGTGGCACGGCCACTTCAAGTGGCACTGCCACTTGGAGTGGCTCCAAGTGGCCCCAAGTGGCAGATTCAGAATCCTCCCGGATTGCACGTCCTCTCAATTTTCCTTTGGGTTTTGAAAGGGTTCTGGTTACCAAGGGAAAAAGGAATCACTGGTGCTCAATGAGCGAACAGCCGGGCGTCGGGCATCGGGCGGGTCGGTTGGTTGTCTCCAGTGGATTTGAGGGTAGCCATGAGGTATCTCACCAGCTGTTGATTTAGATCAATGAATGACTAGTGCTCAAATTGGGGTGTTCAGCTCATTTCTAAATCTTGAGAGTTTGAGGGATACGTTTGCGATTTAGTCTATCAGTTTATCCAGATTTGTCCACTGGCTTCTTCCAAATACGGCAGAATGAATCATACATGACCACGGTCTTCTTTTGGGAAACATGGGAAAGGAATAAGTACATTCTGCGGGGTTGAACCGGGAACCAGAAGCACATCTAAAATCCATTGCTGGGCCCCTAAGCATATACGTGTGGCAGTAGGCGGAGATCGACGTGACGGTCGCACTGGAGGCGCCAGAAGCGGACATGTGAAGTTCAGAGAAAATATCCAATGGCGAACGGTCAGTTTGGGGTACGGGATATGAGGGACCAATGAGAATTCAGTAAACACCGAGACAACACATGACCCAAGATAAACGTCCTTTCCTAGGGATCCCTTTAAATGCGATTAGTGGGTTGTTGCAATACTTGCGCAGTGCAGATTTAAGCAGCCCTTCTCCCTGTTGCGAGGGGGCTGAGGGGACAGGGACTTTGGGTTCATGTGGGTGCGTTGCCGACATTGGAAAGCCACCACCATGCACATGCCCAAGATGGTTTTCACAACCCACCACTCCCCTCCGGATGACCACGGGGAGTATGCCTACTATGAATCAAACTACCAAGGCTGACCTTCGCAGGAAGTTAATTTAAAACTTGCGAGATTTCTATGCAGGTGCTTGCAAAGAACAGGGCGTTGAGGTGTGTAGCATCACTGGGCAACTGGCGACTGGTCGCTTTCGTGTATCTGGATGGTGAATCAAGGGTTTTTGTCCCCCTTGGAAAGTGGCAACGTAGTGCTTGAAGAGTGCAACAAGTGGTGACTTGGTGGAACCCGCAGTTGGCATCCAAAATGTTGCCTACAGAAAACCGCAAACACACAAGTTGTGAGCATCACTTGCTCATGTTTCCTGTGGGGCAAATTTGGTTGGATGACTTGCTGCGCATCTGCAATCGTGTCATATGCCTTATTTAGGATCTCTGTTGAATCAAGTTCACATTTTAAGGTGCCCAACTATCCGGGCAGATGATTGCAACGCCCCCCATGATGAAAGTGTCTTTCATAGGGATCCCTGGTTCTCGGTTGGTGCATTCTACGAATTTGCCACCTGAAACATGGCGTGTTTGGTTGGGGGCAAAAGCTGAGGCAACTTCGATTGGTTGACAATCTGCTCCACAGGCTTGTCACTTCCCTAGCCTTGTGACAGGTACTGGTAGCACCCAAATCCGATTCCCATTGGCAATTTGGGTAGAAAGGCCAAAGCCTTTGTGACAATGTGGTAGATCCCAAAGTCAATTGGTTTTGGGGCTGTCACGTGAATATTTGTTGAAGCAACTCATCCTCACCCGTTGATAGATTTGGGGGAGGGGGCGACCCCTGCAATTTCATTTATAGAACAATGTTTCCTTTCGCGGGGAAAACGTTGTTGTTTTTGTTTTTTGAGGGGGGTGAGGTGGAATTCTCATTTGGTTGTTTTTACAGCGAAACCAAGAGGAAGCCAACCATTGTCAGGGTTACCCTGCGAGGCAGACTCAGGTGGGGGCAAGTCACAAGTCTTCCAGTCGTGAGCTGCCGTTTTTGAGACGGTTTCTCGCTGCGCCTGGAGTATTTGTGGCTCATGTGCCGGCATGGTTTTGAACGCATATGGAAGTGCTGCATTCTGTGGGGTCTGCCTATTTTGACCCAGTTTCACTTGTCACGGCAGCAATCCAAACAGAGCAGAGGGCTGCGGCAATCAGAGGTGAAAACCCTGAGTGCAGATTCTTGCGGGACCGAAGCCTTGTCCGCAGCCCGTCCCGCACGGCGCCTGTAGCCGCAACCAAAATCAAAGACTGCGCACCACCCACCACCGCCACCACCATAGCCCAAGCCAAGAAACCGCCCGGAATAGGCTAAGTTTTTTTCACCCACCGTAGATAGCAAAGATTCCCTGGAGGACTCAATCTTGAGACACCTTCCCTCCCCCCGCCCCCTTTCGCCTGTCAGCCCAGACAAAGCAACTTGGGCAGCGGCATGTGATGCGATTTCCGCTGCTGCCTTGGGAGGCACCTGGAGAGATCCCCGAAATCCCAAAAGGTGGGTGCTCCTTGTGGCTTCCCTTTAAACGTACAGAAAAAGACACGCAAATTCCCGCGCTTTTCTCAGAACCAGTTTTTTGGGAGAAACCAAAAGAGAAAATGGAGGTGAATAAAGAGATTTGGCGGTGTCTTGAGAAAAGGCTCTTGAAAAAGCCATCCAAAACGTCCACTTTGGTGGGAAGAGGTATTGTTCCCTTTTTGAGACTGATGTAAAAGGGAACCCCAGGAAGCCCGCCATGCTGAGGTTCGACTTTCAACTCTTCAGGCCATGGAAAACGGAGAAAAAAGAAGAGAAACCGTGTTGACGCCAACCAATGTCCGGATGCTTCATGTGTTCTAGTCCTCGACTGTCGCAATATCTCAACACTGCCAGGAAGCTTCGCTGCACAGATCTCAATTCGGCAAGCCGAATACGTGGAGCAAGTCGAGGGAACAAGCCACACTTGCGTAGTACTTGTGCCGCTTCCTAAAGGTTTGCACGCAGTTTCTATCTGATGACCACGCGTACAAACAGTTTCTACTTGAGTGATTGCAAAGACATGTGTTTGGTGCAGCAAATGCTTGTATACTGAGTGTAGATAGAAGTCATATGAGGGCCGTCCTAAACCCCCAGTCTTCGGTCTGAATTATCTCCGAACGGCGAAAAGTAAAAGTTGCCAAAAGCTGTGCGCGCGCAAGGAGCACGCAAGTGCGGCCCAAGGGACCCGCAAGGTTACAGTTTTAAAGGGTTGCATGCACTGATGTTGCCCAGCTTCATGAAAGGAGGTGATACTTGTTTACTGTACTTGTGCTTTTCGAACGTTGCTTGGGTCATGTGTAAGGCGCAAGCTTGTTTGCAAAGGTGCGGCGTTTTCTTCAGTCAAAGCTTCTGCGGTCATGACTTCAACAATCAGCAACTGACGCGACAAAATCCGCGCAAGCTGCGCGCAAGCCGCGCGCAAGTTGCGCGCAAGCACGAGAAGCCCCAGCCAGACATCTAGCCATTTGCTGTCTCACACACATGTCCTTAGCAGCGCTGTTCAATCACTGGATATGCAGCCGCGCGTTCCTTCTTTCAGGCTGTGTCCAAGCTGTGTTGTGTGGCAGGGCCTGCTCTTCTTACTCTGGCCTAGAACTGCTGGGAGCGACCTCAGCGGGAAGAGCCTTTATGAGTTACTCTACTTAAAAAAGCTTGCGCGCAATCCACACGAAAACTTTGTAAACCGAGGTCAGCGAATCTAGTTTCTGCGCCACTGTGCGCGCGCAAGTCCGCGCAAGTGCCGCGCAAGTGCGGCCGAAGGACCCAATCCCGGGCAAAGGGATATAGGACAACCCCCATGTATACATTGATGCAAGCTGAACCCCCATTGTGATCCACTCCCAGTTGCCTTTTATCCATGCATATAAATACTATGTATATATATATATATATAAATATGCACATGCACACATACATACATGCATACGTACGTACATACTTACATACGTACGTACCTACGTACATACATAAATACATACATACAAGCATGCATACATTTATATATATATATATATGTAGACATAGGCTCATGTATGTGTATACAGATATATGTATATATATATATTTATATTATTTATTTACTCATTTGTTTGTTTGTGTATTTTCTTTTAAGAAAGTATATTTATTTATGTATTTATTCATTTCTTTCTTTACTTGTTGATTTATTTGTTTATGTATGCATTCATTTATTTATTTATTTATTTATTTATTTATTTATTTGTTTAATCAATTAATTTCATTAATTAATTACTTATGTGTTATGTGCTTTTTTTGCTTTTTACGTAGTTGTTTATTTATTCTATTTATTATACACTCATCCGCGCATATGTACTGCACAGACCCCGTCTCATCTGTAGTTTGGCAGCAGCGACCGGAGGTATGCGCTTTTTCCGCGGGGAGAACAATGATCCAGAGGAAGATGCTTGCCGGAGGGTGGGGAAGAGGGTACAGTGGGGTAGGCTTAAGGGTAAGGACCCCAGTTTTTCATCGCAGCTCTAAGGTGGTTTCTACTACCCTGAAGCCAAAGCTACCCCCTATAGAGGTTATACACCCCATTTCCCCATGGGCCAGAGAGGAAAATGTGCAAGTTTTTGTGCGCCGAAGGGAGTTAGAGGATTCCCTCACAAAATGTACCCTTCCCACAGTTGGCTATGAAATTTGAGAGTGGACCACCTCAAAGTGGTTGGTGGACATGAATTTCTAGATTTCTAGACGATGTCCACAGGGCAAAGAGAAGAACATTGTACATATTTGCCCTTGTCTAGAATGACGGTGGTGGAAGAGATTTAGGTTTGGGGTTCAATGCTGGCCAAGTCTGCTTTCTCACACGCCCAGTGTGTTTGAGTTCTACTTTTTGGGTTTTGACCAGGTGTTTTGCGGAGAGATTCTTGGCAAGGCCATAGCAATTGAAGGATGGCTGTCAACAGTCAACTGTTTAATACGGTTGGTCCGAACCTCAAAAACACATAGGTAGAAGCTTGGTCTTGCTTGTTTGTCTTTTTCAAGTTTCTGCCCTCGAAGGATCGAAAAGGACCGCGAACTGAACCAGGCAAATACTTTGGACGCTGCCACTTGCGCCATGGCTTGGGCATACACCTTCTACATGCGTCCCTTTTTTGGTTCACCCTTTGCGGGTGGTAGAAGCCAAGCGAAAGGAAACCGCCGATCATGTGTGTGACCTCACTTCACGGCACTCTTTGAGCCCCCTACCTGCAAGGGCCCTGAGATATTTTCAGAGGATACTTGAAAATAGGGTGGCGCTTTCAACTGGCGCCCCCTCCAAAACGTTCTATATTTTGGGGTTGGCCAACTATCGGACAAAATCATGCTACTGAATCATGCTGCTTGTCTACCCCAGACCCTCTATTTTGAGACACCCACAGCCTACGTTTGACACACGGCCACGTTGGCAAATGAGCACGGGGAAATGGGCGCCTTGGCATGGGAACCCTCAAAAGTGGACATGCATCCAATCATGTAGTTGCCTGTTGCGAGCTCCCCCCGGAACAAAACAAGCGAAAGCCATGATGTAGGTCCTTCACTAGGGGATCCTGATTCTTACTTCAGGTTTCGATGTCGAATTTGCGTTGCCAGACTTGGCTTACCGGTTACTTGAAACGCGATTTGGTGCATAGGACTCCTTTTCAAAAGTATGGCT